TTGTAATTCTGCCACAGAGATGCACTAAAAACGGAGAAGACGACTTGGACTATGCGCATAAATCTTGCGCGGTATACAAACGAACATGGAACAATACATTTATTAATCTGTGTTAATGTTAGTTAATAAAAAGACAATTGTTCATGTTTTTGTTGTGTTACATGACGTAGTGGTGTCTGACTAGAGGCAAGACGTGGGCTGATGACGTCATAGTTTCAGAAAATATACGGATTTGCTGTCCACACGAAAAACACAAGGGCGGCGTTTTCAAATTTATCCACTCTGGGACCCGGTTTCAAAAAATACTGGTTTCACTCTCCCAAAACGCCGGATCCGTGTGGACGAAACGCCTATACGATACAAAATGTATGCATATACAGCTAAACGCGTCTCAGTGTGGACGGGGCCTTAGAGGAGCTCAGCTTAGCCTGACAGTTAGCCTGCCTCGGACCAGGTCAGTTTCCCAGCATAAGTTGCCACAGTGACTGAGCTTGAGCTATGGTAATTTTGCTTTCGGAAACCAAATCAAGTGACAATAAGTCAAATGAAATGACTAGTTTTATGAAACAGCCCCCTGATCACTACACAAGCATCCGTGTGGACGAAACGCCTATACAATACAAAATGTATGCATATACAGCTAAACGCGTCTCAGTGTGGACGGGGCCTTAGAGGAGCTCAGCTTAGCCTGACAGTTAGCCTGCCTCGGACCAGGTCAGTTTCCCAGCATAAGTTGCCACAGTGACTGAGCTTGAGCTATGGTAATTTTGCTTTCGGAAACCAAATCAAGTGACAATAAGTCAAAATAACTGAAATAAGCCTGGTTTATTTGGTAAACTAGTTTTATGAAACAGCCCCCTGATCACTACACAAGCGACAACAAGCTTCAGTTTTTCAGTCAATCACCTACACAGGCTTAGATAAACACTGTAAACTCCCAGACTAACCATGCTTTTCTGTATTGTTGACAGACGCTGAGAGAATTTATGGTGACCGTGCTGCAGCAAGTGAACGGTCAGCTGTACTGAAGCTGTCAATCTGTATGTTTGTCTGTCTCTCAGGCTGATATCTCATTCAAGAACAGTCTCTCGTTCACACACATACACACACACACACACACACACACTATGCAGCAGGGTATCAGCACACTAATGGACTGGGGTGCATTCAAGAACTCTAAAGAGATGAAGTAGTGCTTGCTCAAGTATTGACTGACAGTGTTTATGGCAGTGATTCCAATCAACAAATGTGGAAATGCAGTAATTTATTCCGATCAGTCATTGTATTACTAATAATTTGGAAGGTAATAATCTGATCTAAGATTGTTTCCTCACACGCCTTCAGCTGGTTTAGAAATTAAAGAATGTGTAAGTTCTGTTTAGTTGATGTTGTCGAACACACCACAGTCCTGAAGTTTAATAATTTCTGTTTAGTCTAAAACCAGAAGAGTTTCATCAGTATTCATATTTTCAAAAGTTTGCAGTTGTGATGCTACGATAAAACAGCATCCCGACAACCACATATATGAGGAATACTCGGCTGTAAGACAACTTCACACCCCATATACTGAGGTGAGAGATATGTCTCAATTTACTGCATTATAAACCAGACAGCTGCCTTTGAATGATTAAGCTTGGTGTGTTGCATTCAGTTATCATCTTTACCTCATGTTCAAATTATTTTCCAAAGCACAACTACATTTTCACCTTTACGAACAGCCTAGTGCTGGAAAGGGGAGGTCTGGTTACACTGTGATGCATCACTGGCAGTTGGTTTTTATACGTCCAAAAACAGCTGTCTGGCATGCTTTAATATAATTAAAGTTAGGCAATGCTGAGCCATCTTAGTTCCTCTTTGTCCTTGGGATGCTGTGACCAAAGATTGCAGTGTCTAAGCACAAATAATGGAAGATAAACCTCTTTTTTGTCATGTTATGTCAGTTTTTGTTCAGCTTTGTTGTAACGCAATAATGTTTTATTCTACATTTATAATGGTTTAAGCTCTTGTGATCAGTATGTTTTGTGCTGCATAAGCTATCAATGAAGACACAGTCGCATCCGTGCGTGGTAGCAGCTTCACATGGTGTGATCGCCCAATTCTATTTATATTTTCAATGAATGTTAATTAAGGCGTAATGAAAATTAGAAGTCTACTCAGGACACAGATTTTTAGGTATTGAGATCTTTTTTTTTTTAAATAACATGATTGTACAATCAACTGTTTGACCTGTGCTGGAATAAGGGACATCTTTACAAGTTAAGCCATACAGTGGAGCGAATGCCAGCTCACAGAAACGAGGCTACGTCGTGCTGAACTACTATAGTAGACTCTGTGCTTCTGCATTTCTGACTTCAACAGAAGAATCTGGTGGAAATATTTTTGTATCAGTATAATTTTTTTAATTGAAAAATAAACAATGTTCAAACTTATTTACAGCTTGTTTGTTCTTTCTTTCCCAACAGAACTTTTATAAATAGGATTGGTTTTTAACAAAACAGTTCTCTCAGTGTCCCAGAATCCTCTACATTACTTTCCAACCTTTCCAAAGGTCTGGTGTCCCAGCAACGATGTTGGCGGCATCTGAATTTAATCAGCGAGTCCTCCGTCAGATGTTGGGCATTGCCACTTTATGGTCCTCATCGGTTTCAATCCCAGCCTCCTCCTGATTTCAAACGCAAGATGTAGAGGAAAGAGAGTTTTTCATTTGCCTATATAAAAATACACATGATACTCTAAGGCAGGGTTTCCCAAAACAATGGCTGTGAACTCCTAGGGGTTTGTGAGTTGATAAACGCTAATAATTAAAGAAATAGTTCACCCAGAAATGAAAGTTCTGTCATTAATTACTCAACCTCATGTCGTTCCAAACCCTTCGTTCATCTTCAGAACACAAATTAAGACGTTTTTTGATGAATTCCGAGAGCTTTCTGACCCTCCATAGACGGCAATGGAACTGAAATGATCCCAGGCCCAAAAATGTAGTAAGGACATTTGTTAAAATAGTCCATGTGTTAATAATAATAGTCCAACCTTAATTTTACAAAGCTATGAGAATAATTTTTGTGCGCAAAGAAAACAAAGATAACTTCATGCACACGCATGCGTTGTGGTACTGTCGATAATGGTGGCCAACGGGGCCACGGAAGAGAAGAATTGTTGAATAAAGTAATTATTTTAGTTTTCTTTGTGCACAAAAACGTATTCTCGTAGCTTCATAAAATTATGCTTGAGCCACTGATCTCACGGAGTATTTTCATGGACTGTCTCTGGGCCTTGAACGTGTCAGTTGCGCTGCTGTCTATGGGAGGGTCAGAAAGCTCTCGGCTTTCATCAAAAATATCTTATTTTGTGTTCCGAAGATGAACGAAGGTCTTACGGGTTTGGAACGACATGAGGGTGAGTAAATATTGACAGAATTTTAATTTCTGGGTGAACTATCTCTTTAATAATATCCAATGTAAAAGACTCCATCTCCACATGTGCTGCGACTTTAACATGCATTTGGGTATGCTACTTGAGCTAGGTTTTCTTTATTTACGGTCACATAATTTCCGATATTTTAATGGACAGAAGTTTAAAGTTTACAGTATTTCAATAGTATTATGGTAAAATAAAGGCTTATGGGTTTGAACGTTAAAAAGTGAAGCATTTAAGATACATATTAGTATTATTACTTGAAGTGTAAAAATTATAATTAGTCAAATATTCATTTTTGTCATTTACAACAGTAATATATTGCTTCATTTTTGTGATTAGAGTTGAAACGAGTTAAAGATTCACTATTTTATCTATATACTTGGATGTCATGTGACCATTAACTGACAGCACAGAATCATGAACAAGCAAACATGTTGTAATTGAAATATTAACATCAAATCTCACGGGGTACTTCCAAGAAATTTGTAACAAAAAAGTTTGGAAACCTGTTTTAAGGGAATGACTCACCAGAAACTGTTTCTTGCATCTTGGGTACCCCTCCAAAATAGATCCAACCATATCGGTAACCTGGCAGGTAAAGAGACATTAATTACTTAAAAGCCGTGCTTGGAGTTTTATGTTATGGTACATCTAATTATCTGTATAGTGTAAGTTATGTAGCATTATCACAGGTATCATTTGTTAGGTCAGTTGACCATTGGCAGTGATAGTAAAGACCTTAATGTGCAAGAGCAGTTTCCATTCGTACATAAATAAACCATGGTGTTGAGGACACAAAGGTATATATGAAATGAACACCTTATGGCTGTATCATTAAAAGCTAGCTGACATGTTGTCTCCTGGGCAGAATCTGAAGTTGTGTGAATAAATGTTTTTATGGATCATTACCATTCTCTTCCTCTTCCTCCACTCCTTCACATAAGTCTCTCTCTCCTTGTAAACCTGAGGGGCAAGAAATACAATTGTCAGCAACATAAACAAGCATAATATACTGTGTTGACTGCCCCAGGACAGCCACATTATCTGTATAAACTTCACCTAATGAATCAAACATATTCCAGAGATGCTAGAAGGCTTTAGATTAGTATTTTTGCACTGCTTACAAAAGCAATTTAATGTGCAGGGCTCAACAATAAGAATGACCCAGGGCCAGTGTGGGAGAGATTCAGGCCGCTGTATGGACTGTCATTTGCACTTACTCGACACTACATTTTGTGTTCATTAATCATGCACAGAGCTGGTACTGTAAACGTTAACACTTGGTTTTCTGTCATGTATTGTATATTGTTGTTATGATTTAGCTCATTTAAATAGGTTACCAATGTAATGTCATGTAACTATTTAAAGAAACTGTGAGCAAAGTTGTGACTTAGAGAAAATGTTGTTCACAATATGCCACTGTTTTCAGCTAAACTGTTTTTTAATAGCGGTCATGGAGTTACAATATAGCTGTATAATTCCAGATATTATTGCAGAATTTTTTGTTCAGACGTTTGATGAAAAATGCGGTAAAGTAATTAAATATTGGTACAATTTGAAATAACTTTTCTATTTGAATATATTTTATTCCTGTGATGGCAAAGCTGAATTTTCAGCATCATTACCCCAATCTTCAGTGTCACATGATCCTTCAGAAATCATTCTAATATACTGATTTGCTGCTCAAGAAACATTTCTTATCATTATCAACGTTAGAAATAGTTGTGCTGCTTAATATTTAAGTGGAAACTGATATTTTTCCCCCCAGGATTCTTTGATGAACAAAGTGCAAAAGAACAACATTTATTTGAAATAGAAAGTTTGTACTTTTTGTAGCATTATTTTGTAACATTACTGTCATACATGCAAACACACTACTGTTCAAAAGTTTAGGGTCAATAAAATATTTTTCTAAAATAAAATTATAAATATATATTTCCTGACATGTATTGCATAAAAATAAACGATCATTTTTTGGTGGGTCTGAGGTAAAAATGCTGGCAGGAAGTAGTGGTCTGACCTACTGTTGATCCCAGAATAGATCCTGCATGGTGAATTGATGGCCAAAAGATCACCCAGATATTAAAGAACACAGTGATTTCTAACCTTCTGCTTCTCCTCAGGGGTCACATGGTTTGTAGCTGACTTGATTTTATCCAGCCTCTCTCTGTACCCAGAGCACTCTGCCTGCAGCTCCTGGATCTGTGCCTTCATCTCTGCTGTGGTTAATGAGCTGTTCAGCTCCTTCAGTTCTGAGGGCAAAAAGATGAACTTTTTATCAAATACAAACAGTCTGTGTGCACAAGTTCAAACCACACGTCTTTCCCCAGCAGTGCACACCTGTATCCAGCTGCCTGCAGCTCTGTGAGATGGTCTGTACTTCAGCACCGAGTTCTGCAACACGAGCATCCATCTCCTTAAGTTCAGCATCACTCACATCCGCAAACTGAGACTGAAGCGTTAGAAAGGACATCTGTCAGGCTGACTACCCAACACCAGTTCTCTTCATATTAACAGCAAACTGTCTCCCTCCTAATGAGACCAACCTGATCTGCAAAGTAGATCTTCTGCTTTCCATAGACTTTCTCTTGAATCTTTCCCTCCTGGGCCAGCTGCTCCATTGCTTTGACCACAGCCTGAGAAAATAAAGGCGTTTAATATCACAAAATCATATAACATAACACCCTCTGTATACAAACTGTAATATTAAAC